TTGATAATGTCCACATGGACACGAAGACCATAGTCAGAGCTTTCAGCCCAGATTTCAAGAAAAATCACCTGGCTGAGCCTTTTGACAGCATCCACATCTACCCACTCATGTGTAAGCTCCTGGAGATTACCCCCGAACCCCACACCGACTCCCTGGCAGTCACCCAGGAAATGCTTGTGGACTCTTATGACCAGCAGCCAGGTGAAATACAAAAGCAACCACCAGGAAATTGGTGGTGTGTTCTGTTCTGTCATGAGATACAGAAGATTCATAATGGAGTCTCCCGGTGGGAGAGGTGGAATCAAGCAGAATAATCTTGTTTCCCAGCAACTTCAGTGCCCCCAGCAACTTCAGTGCCCCCAGCACAAGATATCAGCAGCTCTAAAGACAGCAGGAAGTAGGGAAACCCTAGAAGTGCTGGTGACATTTTATATAGTGCCTCAGGGGCAAAGGGAAGGCTCTCCATAAAGGAAGTCAGACAATAATCCTTCTGATCCTCAGAAGTCTTGTGCAGTCTGCCCCCAGATGTCCCTTGTAGATAAGGAAAATCAGCCTTCCTTCATCAACTCTGTGCATGCTGGTGCCTAGGAAAAAAAGCTGCTCATAGGGGAATAACAAAGCCTTACCATTCCACTCATTGCAGAAAAAAAAGGGGCAGGGGTTCCCATAAATGAGGTTGCTAATTATTAAGATTTCAAAATCTTAAATCTGGGCAATATAAAGGAAGAAAGAGATCATCTCTGGGAATTCCATTGTTTGCGAACACTGGCCAGCTTTTCTTCTGCCAGGAGAGACATAGATAATGCCCAATGATCTCATCACATGCTAGAGCAACCACACTCAATTAAAACTAAGTACAAAGAAGCTTCCTGCACTCTTTTCCCTTCTTCCAAGCCACTGCTCACAATCTTCCTGTAAACTTAGAAGAAGCAGGCCATTTTGCAGAAAACTAAGAATGATCAATTCACCAGATTATATTTTTTTAAGTTTTAAAGTTTTACAACTAATGGGCCCTACTCCTGTCCCAGAGCACGTCAGGAGCCTGGGGTAAGGTGTGTTTGACTGTCAGTTACTGATTGATAAGCTGGACATCCTACTAACTGATTTTCAGGGAATTGGCTTTTAGCAAATTGGTCATTTGGCAGATGGGTCATTTGGCAAATAGGTCGTTTAGTAAATCGGCTTTCAACGACTTGCCCTTCGAGATTTCACTACAGTGAGCACTTTCTTGGGTTAAATGTACATTTCATTTCCATAATTAATATTCACTAGCGCCTGCATGGGAAACTTGCCAGGGACCCAGAGCAGCTGGAACAGGCTCTTAATAATCGGACAATTTTTTTAAACAGAAGCAGAAATGCAGAGGTCATCTGCTCTCCTAAAAACAGTGATAGGTCTCGGGATTGTCATAGGAGTTCTTGCCATTCTGTTTGTCGCTAGTGTGACATACACAGCCATTCATCGAAAAAAAGAAGTGAGTGGCTTTGGGTTTCCTATGGTTAATCGGTGCACATTGTAATAATTCATTTCAACAACTTTCTGCATGCCAAAGTGGGATCTAGCACTTTAAGATCCCAGGAACCAGAGCCAGCTTCACAGGCTTGCAAACTGGAAAGTTGCAAACACAGGGCCCAGAGCTCAGAAGAGCCCCCAGCTTGGTTTAATAATCGTCTGTCATGGTCTCGAAATTCTTGATTTTTTAACAAGGCCCCTGCATTTTCATTTTGCGCTGGACCCCCAAAATTATGCTCTGGTTGTATTAGTTTTCTAAGGCTGCCATAACAAAGTACCACAAACTAGGTGGCTTAAAAACAACGGAAATGTATTGTCTCACAGACTGGAGTCTGGAAGTCCAAAATCAAGAAGTCAGTAGGGCCATGGTCTCTCTGAAACCTGTAGGGGAGGATCCTTCCTTGCCTCTTCTAGCTTCTGGAGGTTACCAGCAATCCTTGGAGTTCTTTCTCCAACCTCTGCTTCCACTGTCACACAGCCGTCTTCTCCCTGTGTCTCTGCTTTCACGTGGTCATCTAAGGATACCAGTCATGGAATTTAGGGGCCTCTGTAATCCAGTATGACCTCATCTTAATTATATCTGCAAAGACCCTATTTTTAAGTAAGGTCACATTCCTAGGTACCAAAGATTAGGGTTTTCAACATATATTTTTGAGGGACATAATCCAACCCATAATATTGGTTCTGCCACCAACCGAAGCATTATATGAGCCTGATGCACCCCTCTCTACATCGCAATAGTTTATCATAAGGACTCCTGTGTTCCTTATTACACCCAATCCTGACCATTCTTCTACTTTAAAATAGCACGGGGACCTCCTGAACACTATAAACTAAGGAAAGTTGGAACTTTATTTAACTTTAACTCCATTACCAAGCCCACATTTAATGTAATCTATATTTGAACTATAAAATTTTCCTGTAAGTTGAAAACATGACTTATAAAGGCCTCTGCACCCTGAAGCAACATTTTAGAGAGAAATCATTGGTCTTTTCTTACAGAAACCATTAGCCATAGGAAAGATACAGGAAAAATTTTAATATACTGACTAAATTGCCATGCCCATGGCGTAATTTCTAAAAAGCAACCATTCTATACAGTTAAAATACATTAGGTTATTATTATTGTTATTATTAGCCTCAAATCCAGAAGTTGGCCCTTTAATATAGCATGTGCACATACATATCACCTCTTACCACTGAACCACTGGAACATGTCCTAATGCTTCGCTCCATAACAATACACCCAGAATTTTTACTCAGTATGTTAAACAGCAGTCTTACTCTTCATTTCCACCTGAACACACCACTACTGTGAGGTCCATGGGACATTAAAAACCCCTTCAGATTCATATCTAAGATGTATGACCTTATAACCATTGTCCCTCCTGAGAGCCCATACATGAAGATAAAGTTTTCTCCTGTGTACAGATCAATGCTGTGGCCCACTCAGAGTCCTTCCCCAACCTGCTGCCCACCTAAGTCATCAGGAAAGGCTGGTTTATTAATATCTTAGTATAATATCATACAGTATTACTTCGGCATTGACCGTACATGCCCTTTTGCTCCTTGGAGGAAATGTAATTAATCGCTATTATGTGTTCATAGAATAAACCTTGTATCTAAGTGTTTAACTGACCCATCCCCATTGGATTTCACTGTCTCCTGCAGGCAGAGAGTTGATCAAAACAGCAAAAGTGAACTAATGTGCTGGATCCAGCTCTGAAGCATCATTCCTTTAGGACCAAGACACAGACTAGAGTTAAGACTCATTGTCCTATCACAGGTGACTCTATCTCAGGACTCTGTGACTAAGGATGTATGCAATATCTCAGACCCAGAAACCATCGACTCTATGTAAAAACACAGCAGTAACCACAGAGCACCTTCTTTATTTAAATCAACAGTGTCGAGGGAATACAAAATGGACAATTTTTGTGTCAGATCCTGCACTCACTTGGTTGGGGAAGAAGCACAACAGATATGAGAGAATAAATGCATTCAACAAGAATTAATTTTCCTCTCTTGTTCTCATAGCTGAGCAGGGCTCCAGTGTTTCTCATCGAAAAGGGGTAATAAGATTTAATCTGTCCTCTCATCTACCTTCTGCAAGTATATTTAACAAATTAGCTCTCAAGACGCTTCTAAATGTAGTTTTATGAGAGATTTGTGAAGGTAACCATGTTAGACTTTGAATACAGTTCAAACTCCAGAGACAGCCCTGGTAGGTTGTGGACTGTCTGCCCTGCCTTTCACTCAAGACATAATAATGTCGACAAGAAATAATTATTTTTTCTTTTCCTCCCCATCTCCATGCCTGTACCACCCCACAAACCCCAGGAGCCCTCTTACTCTTATTTCAGATACTTTTTTCCTTATGCCTGCAAAGTGAGAACTCCCACTCATATAGCTCCATGTGCTCTCCTGCAGGGCATACAATGTCATCATCCTTCTCCATTTATCTGTGTGATAATTAGTTCAATGTCTCCTTCCCCCAGGAGACCCTGATCTCCTGGAGGGCAGAGACCACTCTTGGTTTTTCTCACTGTTCCATCCCTAATGCCTGACAGTGTTAAACACACAGCAGGTGCTTACTAAGTATTTGGTGAATAAAAGTCCCCATAGATTAGGGATAGACCCAAAGGCTGCAGGAGCCAGAGCTCTTGCCTTCTGTTAGAGGTCATCAAAAGGATGTGACCACCAGTTGACCAGCAAGCTGATCCCGGGCAACTGGGGGCTCCTCCCCATTCCCGCCCCTGCCCCCATTCCCACAGCGAGAGACGTTTCTAGAAGCAGCCTTAAGAGCATTGTGGTGTTGAAACCACCTGGACTGGGTACATGGCTGAACCTAGTTAAGGCCTCTGCAGACACTTTTAAGATTCTGGCGGGTAGTGAACAGATCCACTCGTCTTGAGGCGCCCAAGACAAGCCTCCAAAGTTCCCTCGTTAATCCTGCCACCTACCCATGTGGAGTGGCCTGCTTCTCTACGGTTTCTCCTGACTCTCAGTGTACCGTCCAGTTTGGGAACCCACACCTTGACCCGAATGCCTCGTTCCAAAGAGAGAAAGGGCGACCATGGCCTGAGTCCACGGTCACTGGGCCTGAGGAGGCACTCCGACAACAGCTCTGGCCATGAGGGCGGTCAGGATCCCACCTGCCCAGTCCCAGAGGGGTGGCGCTGACGCGCAGAGGGCTAAGATAAGGCCGCAGAGGCAGTCCCTGACAAAAAGACCCTCATAAAGGTGAAGGAACAGCGAGAACCGTTACCTGGCCCTTAGCCTCACGGGACGCTCCCAAGGAGGGCTCGCTACTCAACGCAGCCCAATTCTGGCGCCAAACCCAGACTCCGCCCCGCCGATGCCGTGGCCCCGCCCCCTATCCCACGCACCCCCTCGGACACGCCTCTGGCCCCGCCCCCTGACCGGCCTCAAGCCCCGCCTCCTCTGGGAACCGCCCCGCTTCCGTCTCGTATCCCGGGCAACGCCGCGGCCCCGCCCAGCCATGGCGCGCGAGGAGAACGTGGATTCAGCGCGCCTGCTGCGGAGTTTCGAGCGCCGCTTCCTGGCGACGCGCGGGCTGCGTTCCTTTCCCTGGCAGGTGTGTGGTGGGGCGCGCGAAGGTCGGGCTGGGGCGGCTGGGGACGGTCGAGGCCTTGGCTACCAAATCCGCCCCCTCCGCCACGCGACGGCCTCAACTCCCTTGGTGCCGCGGCAGGACCTGAGGTCCTCGTCCGCCGGGTGCGCCAAGGACCGCGAGGACTGGCAGTGGGGAGCAGGAGATGTACCTGCGCGTCCTTGGGAGGCCCACCCTGCACCCCGCCATCAGCTCCCTCTTCTGGCCCCTTACCTCCCTGAACTGCCTTGAGTCCTGCGAATTGAAGGAATGCAGGGTTTCCTCCCAAATCTCTTTTCACTCTAGTTTTTAGGACAGTTCACGATAATTTTATGACTTTGTTTTTTAGTCGTTCATTATCCTGGCCATTGAGTAACAGCTGCCATTGCCTATGTAAACAGTCAACGTCCTCAGGACAGCAGAAGACCACGTTGCAATGAGCGCAGTGACCAGGTCACACACGCACACACCTGGGTTTTCTCATCTGTGTCATCAGCTTTGGACAAAATTGTCTCAGAGTCAGCTTGAGGCTCTTAAACCTCTGATAGAAGAGATAGGGAGGTACAAAGCTGACCAGAAAAGGGATGAAAGATCTCACCTCCCCTGCCCTGGGAACCTGCCATTATCGCAAAGAGTGGCAGTAGCTTCCTTCTGCCAAGGCAGGAGCCCTAATGACACTGCCTCCTTTATAATTCGTGTGCAGTAAGGTCACTGGAATGACTCATATTGGGTATGTATTCCTCCTCCAGTCTGCCCCATCTTAAGGGGTGGTGGTTAGTCATTTGTATTTCATTAACGTAAACCATTTAGCATTCTAAGAGCTCATTTCTGGTCAGAAAGGAATATGTACATTTTTAACCCCAAATTTAAACCTTCTCAACAGCCTCGATCGGTCCCAATTCAATACTGACTAGAATTGTTCACATGAAATGAGTGCTTACTCTGGACCAGGCTCATGTTAATGTGTACTTAGGCTGAACCACAACACCCATGTGGTGGGTACTATAACTTCATTGTGTTTGACCACAAAGGTTGTTTGACTAGAAAAGAAGTAAGAGTGCAGCAGTGGCGAGCCCAGACCTGGGGGACAGCCTGCTTGCTTGGAATCCTGGCCCAATCTTATACAAGATGTGTGACCTTGGGCAAGTGGCTGCACCTCTCTGTGCCTTAGTTTTCTTGGTAGTAAAACGGGATATAATGATGCTTACCTCATAGAGCTGTTGTTAGGAGTACATGAATATGAAGCACCTGAGGCAGTGCCTGTCTCACAGTAAGTGAATGTAAGTATTAGCTAGTATTTTTATTCCATCACCAGATATTTGCTGAATGCTTTCCATGAGCAAGGCATCAGGATCAGCAGTATACAGTTGAGGCCCTGCTCAGATGGGAAAGCCAGAGAATAAACAAGTATATAAATAAGCGAGAAAACACCAGGGATGACAGTGGCTATAAAGTCAGGGAAGGCCTCCTGAAAGAGGGGACATTTGAGCCAGAACCTGAATAATAAAGCAGCCAGCCATGGGACGTCTTTGGAGAAAGGCTCTGCCACTGAGATCAAGCTGCTGCAAGGAAGCCAGTGTGGCTGGAGTGGAATAAGCAGAGATGAGACGGGGGAGGTGGCAGATGAGGATAGAGAGGCTAAGGCCAGGCCAGTAGTCCTTTTAAGGCATGACAGGTTGCTCTGGAGAAATGGAGTTATTTGCCCCATGTCACAGCACAGCAATCTACCTGTGTCTGGAGCCTGAGCTCAATGCCAAGCTGGAGTCCCCTTTAGGAGAACAATATAGCGGACCTGGGAGCTGCACATTCTATATGTCCATTTTAACTCAGATGTCAAGTCCAAGGCAAACCCATCAGGTCCTGATGTGGCTAACTAATTTCTGGCTGACCAGTTCAGCTACAGAGCTGATCTGTGACCCAGGTGAGGCTAAGCAGCAGGGCTAATGCAAGCCAAGAGTCTGTCTCCTCACATCTTTCTCCAACTCATCCAGGTGTAACCTGGGACTTGTCAAGGTCAGGCTTTTAGCCGCTCGTGGCTTCTGCTTCCAACGCTTCCAATTGGCCCAGGTCCCTGGGGAGAGATCACTTAATGCTTTGCCAACATGTCCTATTGCATGTTTAATGTTCCTATGAAAATGCCCTTGAGATTTTTCTCTCTTCCCCTCTGTCTCTGAATAGAGCCTAGAAGAGAAATTAAGAGACTCGGGTTCTGAGCTGCTGCTGGATATTTTGCAGAAGGTAAGAATCACAGAATCACTGGGGCACATCACCAGCCTCCCTACCTGCCCTTGAGGACATGACAAGCACAGTGGGTGCAGTTGTATCCTTTAAAAAAAAAAAAGACTCTGCATTTGAGGGGTAGCACCTGAGAGAGCTCTGGCTCTTTTATTTTCTTAGATGAAGATATCAGAATATACAAAGAACTGCTTGAGAGGAGGGAATTGGGGATATTTTTTAAACTGTCCACAGAGAAAACAGAGTTGACAGCTGTGGGAACATCTAGCATTTACTAGCTGTTCAGAGGCTTTCTTCTTTACATTTAAGGGAAAAATAAGGCAAATCTCACCCACTCGTGTCTCTTTTCTAGATATAGATGGGCCCCTGCTTTTGAGGGGTGGGTTTTTTATTCTAAGGGAAAAATAAGGCAAATCTCACCCACTCGTGTCTCTTTTCTAGATATAGATGGGCCCCTGCTTTTGAGGGGTGGGTTTTTTATTCTAAGGGAAAAATAAGGCAAATCTCACCCACTCGTGTCTCTTTTCTAGATATAGATGGGCCCCTGCTTTTGAGGGGTGGGTTTTTTATTCTAAGGTGCATATGGGTGAGAGTATATGTGCAACCACCACTCTGTCTGGGGTCGTGTGGGTATTTTGTTACCTTGGGTAAAATCGAGTCTCTCCAGCCAAAAGCCCCATGACACAGCCCCTGCTCTCATGTATTCTGTCTCCCTGCCTTCCTTCCCCAAATGCCAGGCTGTGGCCACCTTGGAGCCTAAACAAGCCGTCCCCTCTGCCTGGATCATGCTCCCCTGCTTTCTGCTTCTGTAGATTTCCACTGAAGTATTGCCCCTGAGAGTCCCTTTCCTCCCCCACCATGTTCCAGGCAGAGCCCTCGTCTTCTTCTGTCCTGGCCATCACAGCATTCATCTCGGTCTGGCTCTCACCCATCTCCTTAGCCTGGGATGTGAGTCCAGGATGACAGGTGCCAAATCTGCCTTGTTCCCACCATTTGGACTCCTTCCTCTTCCATGGAGCCAGAAAACCCCACACTTGTCCTCACTGCAACCTCTAGTTCATGCTGGCTTCCCAGGAAAGTGGTGTGTCTTAGTCCATTCCAGCTGCTGTAACAGAATACTATAGACTGAGTGGCTTATAAACAACAGGAACTTATTTCTCACAGTTCTGGAGGCTGGGAAGTCCAGGATCAAGGTGCCAGCTGATTCAGTGTCTGGTGAGGGTTCACTTCCTGGTTCATAGAGGGCCATCTTCTCACTGTGTCCTCATATGGTGGATCGGGCAAAGGAGCTCTATAAGGTCTCTCTTATAAGGGAGCTAATCCCATACATGGGGGCTCCACCCTCATGACCTAATCACCTCCCAAAGGCCCCACCTCCAATACCATCACATAGGGGTTGGATTTAACATATGAATTTGGAAGGGACATAGACATTCATTCAATCTATAGCAGGGTGTTAGCTTGGGTCCATATGCCTCCTGTTCCTGCCCAGAATGGGTGTTAGAAACCCTGCCACAGCCTGTACTACTGTAGTGAATGTTCTTTAGGAAAGGGCTTATTTTTAAGACTGACTCTTTCAGATGCACGACAGTCACCTAGAACCAGAACCCTGTGTCTTTTCATGTCTTTGCTGAAGGAATGAGTTACAGGGGTTTATCCTGTATTCACTTAAAGCTCATGGAAGACTTAAGGCCCAGTCTCTTCAGCAACCCCTGTGTCCTTTGTCACAGACCGTGAAACATCCTCTGTGTGTGAAGCATCCACCATCGGTGAAGTATGCCCGGTGCTTTCTCTCGGAGCTCATCAGAAAGGTCAGTAGTGGGCACTCTCCATCCAGGATCCAGACAGCATCTAGGACTAGGCTGCTCTCCAGCAGTGGGCCCTCTGCCCCTGCTTGCCTGTAGGAGCTCAAATCTATCCCATGCCCTTTCCCTGCTCTGCAAACCCCCATATGGCAGGGGGCTCGCCAGGCAACTGGCTCCCTGCTGGTTCAGCCAGTGAGAGGCAGTGGAGGGAAGGAGGGAAGGAGAGGCCGGGGTATTTCTCCTCTGCTTCCAGGGGTCTGGCAGCGGCCGCATCTCCTGTACGGGTTCTCATTCCTCCCAGAGAGCCCTGAGCTCTGGAAACCTTACCTTCTCTCTGTCCTGCCAGCCACAGCACAGTTTCCTGCTGTTGCCAATCTATGGATTGCCGCACTGTCCCCATTGGAGGTTTAGGTCATGCAGTGCCTTTATAACTGGTTCTCCTACTGTCTTCTCCCCAGTGAATGACCTGGAGTAGCTCTTTTCCTGACTGATACAGGACAGATTTTAAGAATGAGCCCAAATTTGCTGGATTTCACATTAGACTGGAATTCAGAGAGGCGATAGATACTTCAATGGTCAGTGGCAGACACAATGCGGTCAGCCTCTGAGCATAAGAGCCACCCCTCGCCCAGGCTTAGCACACAGAACCTTCCGGGATTCTCTGTTACCGCCCTCCCCAGTTCTCACCAACACGGCGCATCTAGCAGTCACCAGCATGTCTCCCTGGCACTACCAGCAGAAACGCGGCCACATGATGCTGCCCACCCCACCCCCGTGAGGCACACAACAGGAGGATGCCCACTGATGAAGCCACACCCCATGTTGTGGAGTGCCTGTCTTTGTGGCTTTTTCCTGGGCCCACCTAAAAGCACCATTTGTTTTCTTAGCCCAGGACACCATGATACAAGGGCAGAGCTCTCTGTCCCTGTCACATGGCAGCTCTCACATAATCCCATTGCTGCTGCTCTCCACTAAACGTCTCTGAGATATCCTAGGGCCCCCACTGAGTGAATTGTTTCTATTTCAGGTGGCATATATTAAGTCAGCCCATCCCAAACCACCCCTCCAAATTTCGTGAAAATTTTCCAGCCATTTTTAGAAGTCAGAGTGAAAGCAAGTAGACAGGGCCTTTGTTTGATTCATGTGGGTCAGTTTAATGCTCTTGCTGAAGCTTTTGCTCCACCCACCCCCCAGCATGAAGCTATCCACGCGGAGCCTTTGGACGAGCTGTACGAGGCATTGGCGGAGGTTCTGACAGCTGAGGAGCCCACCCAGTGCCATCGGAGCTATCTACTGGTAGGAGATGTGCACCCTCCTCCCCACACAGGCCAAACGGCCACCTCTGCACAGCATTAAAACACAGGCTACAGTCAGCCTCTGTGAGTTCAAATCCTGACTCATCAGTTCTGTGGTCTTGAGTGAGATCAGCTAACCTCCTTGAGCCTCAGTTTCCTCATCTGTAAACTTAGCACTTCAACACAGAACAGTACCTATCTTACGAGGTGGCTGGGGGTTAAATTAGGAGATCACAGTAATTGCGCAGCATGGATGGGTGTTATAAGACAGCAATCGCCCCTACTCTACCCTCCACCGTCCTAACCACCTTAAACCAATGTCTCAGCCTTCTGACTGGTCTTCTGGCTTCTTACCCCACAAAAACCAATTCTGTATCCAATAGCCAGAGAGATCTTGGATGTTTGTTTGTCTTTAGTCTTTTGCTATAAAATAGAACATAGATACAGGAAACCACACAAAAAAAATATACAGCTTATTGAATCGTTACAAGTGGCCACCATGGTAGCCGCCACTCCAGTCGAGGGACTGAACTTTGGCAGCCAGTCAACTAGGCCCCATCTGACCCATCCCAGCCCTCCCTTCCTACAAAAATAACCACCACCTTCCTTTCGGTATGACCACTCAGGTTTTATCATTGCCCTGTCCACCTCTGGACACCCGTGTTTTGTCTTGTCCATTAAGTGATCTGGCTTGAAGTCTTCCTTCGTCCGCAGGTACCCTACCCGCCAGCTCTTTCTTTTCCCAGCAGTGCCTCTCTTGAACAGCCCTAGTGGTTTGGCCTGGACAGATTTCCTCAGGCTGGCTTTTGGTTGAACACACATGGTGCTGTTCAAGTTGTTCCTCCATCCTGTTTCCCAAAAATTGATGTCTGGATTCAGAAGCCCACTCAGATTCATATCTGTTTGATCCCTTTGGTGACAACACAATATGGCGTTCTAGGAGGCACATCACATCTATTGTTCACCCTCTTAATTGGGTCCCCATCCCCCGGCCGCACACCAGTGCTGGTCCATGGTCTATTAGGAACCGGGGCACACAGCAGGAGGTGAGCAGTGGGCAGACTAGTAAAGCTTCATCTGTATTTGCAGCCGCTCCCCAGCACTAGCATCACCGCCTCAGCTCCACCTCAGATCATCAGGCATTGGGCTCTCATAGGAGCACCAGTCCCTTTTTGGTGCCAAAAAGGTTGGGGACTGCTGCTTTTAATGATAGTGGTTATGGATGCCCAGAGCTAGGACTCATTAACTCATTGATTTAAAAGGGTGATTTTTCGATTCCATTATTTTGTTTCCATTCATTAACTGGAGAAATTTTATAAGGAGGTGTTGCCCTTCATCCACTGTTTAGTTACCCACTGGTACAACTCATAGAGGAAAAAGAAGATGCAGGCTTGATCTTTCCTTTTCAACTTAGTGAACTGGTTTCTTACCATCCCTGGAAAAGGTACATTTCATTACAAATTGTGTCCTTAATGAAGCTCAAAGTATGCTATTTTTCTTTCCTTGAGTCTCTTAAATATGTTTCTCCATTTTCTTCGGCATAAAGCATTGCTGTGGAAAAGCCTGATGATAATCTAATTTCCTTCCCCATTTATGCCACATATCCTTTTAGATGGCCAAAAGATTTTTTTCTTACAAGTCCAGTAATTTTACTAGCAAATGTCTTGAAGTTGATTGTTCTGGGCTAGTGATCTCAGGTACAGTGTGTACTCCTTCAATATTTATTTCAAATCTTTTTTTTCAGGAATCCTTCCTGAATTATATAATTTTTACTATTTATTCTTTGATTCCTTTTTCCATAACAAAGTACCTAAAAATGAGTGGCTTAAACAAAAGAAAATTATTATATCACAGCTCTGGAAGCTGTAAATCCCAAACCAGAGTGTTTATTAGGGTTGGTTCCTTCTGAGGGCTGTGCAGGAAGGACCTGTTCCAGGCCTCTCTCCCTGAGTCTTTTCACATCACCTTCCCTCTGTCATGTCTCTGTGTCCTAATGTCATCCTCTTAAAAGGACATGGTCCTACTGGATTAGGGCCCACTGTAATGCCCTCATTTTAACTTGATTCTCTTTGCAAAGACCCCATCTCCAAATAAGGTCACATTCAGAAGTGCTAGAGATTAGAACTTCAGTGTATGAATGGGGGCCCTGGGTGGACAGAGTTCAGCCCATAGCTATCTCTTCCTTAATTTCTTTCTGATTTTTAAAAAAATCACTCTTTTTCACCTCCTGCTTCTCTCGAGTTTACTTTTTGTTTTGTTTTCATTTTCATGTTCCTTCGAGTGGTCTTTATTTCTGAAATGATGTTTTCTGTTGTCATCACACATTTCTGAGTATTTCTAGTTGCCATGCAGCCCTCACCCGGGGTCCCCCATATGTGCCAAGACTGGGGTAGGCAAGTTCCCAACTAGGTATTGCTGCTGTTCTTGGCTGGCCCCTACATTTCCAGTGAATGCCTATTGGCTCTGGATTCTTCTGTCCTCCGTGTGTCACGTGCCACATAGCTTCCCTCTTCTCTCTCCAGTTTTGTTGTGAATGTCCATGTCTCACTCTCTGTCTGTTCTTGTGCGGGGATTCAGGAAGACTCAAAACTGCACTGCACCCATCTTCCCCAAATCCCTCAGAAGGACCCTCCAGATTTAAGAGGCAGATCGGATCATGTCCCTCACTTGCTCGGAACCCACCAGTGGCTTCCCTGTGTACTCAGACTCAAGTCCTAATTCCTTAAGTGGCCCTCGTTGCCCCACATGCCCTGCCCCTGCCTTCCTCCACAGTCTGGTTCCTCCCACCCACCAATGTTCCAGCTCCCTGATCATCATCTTCCCTGAACTTACCAACCACAGTGCTGACTTTTGCACCAGCTCTGCTGGAATTCTCTGCCCCCAGAACCTCACATGCCTCACTTCTCCTTTTCACCCAGGTCTCAGGTCACATGTCACTTCCTCAAAGAGGCTTTCCCTGACCAATTTATCTGAAACAGATCTGCGCCCTCCCCCCGGCCCCAGTCTTCCACTATCATGTCCTTTTTATCCGTGGCACTGAATAACTGTGTGAAATAATTTGTTTATTTATTATGGTTTGTATTACCTGCTAGCATGTAAGTTCCATAAGAACAGGAATAAGTTATCTGGTCACAGGTAAATCCCTAGCACCCGTAGTAGATGCCCAGGAAAAAACGTATAGATGAATGAATGAACAAATGAATGCTCACAAACTCCAGAAACCTGAACCCCCTACAGGAGTTTCAGGAACTCAGAGACAGCCAGGAAACCCCCCTAGGTGATTGCATGTTGTGGGTGCCATTCTCAGCGGCCCAGGTTGAAGAACATGTTTCAAGACTGCATGTTCCTTGGAGCACATGCCTCCACCTGCATTGGGAGTGACAGGAAACTCCAAAGGCCACAGAATTCCCTAGCTCCAAATACTGAATTCATAAAGATTCTCCACAGTAAGATTTTTCACGTATAGCTCATGATAACAGAATTGTGACTTTTTTTCGTTAATGATTATAGATTCACAGAAAGCTGCAAAAATAGTACAGAGAGGTCCCATGTACCCTTTCTCCAGTTTCCCCCAGTGGGGACACCTGGCACTCATGCAGCTTCACAGCCAGGACACCAGCATTGGCACAACCCTGCGCCCTCCATTCCGGAGTCCTAAATCCTAGAGGGAGTCCCTGTCAGTAACCCGGGGTTGTTCATCACAGATGTGCTGTATTGCCCGGTGCGTAATTCTTCATCACTTATCACACATGGATATCCGCACAGGCACCACCACAGTCAAGTTACAGAGCCGTTCCATCACTACAAATACCTCCCTCAAGCCACCCCTTTATATTCATACCCATCCCCCTCCCCACCAGCCTGACCCCCAGCAACCACTGGTCTGTTCTGTGTCCACAGTTCTGTCATTTTGAGAATGTTAGATAAATGGAATCACACAGTAGGTGACCTTCTGAGATTGGCTTTTTTCACTCAGCGTAATGCCCTTGCAGTCCATCCAGGCTGGTGTGCGTGTTAGTAGTTTGTTCTTTTTCATTGCTGTGTGGTATTCTGTGACATGGACTTATCAGTTTGTTTAACCATCCACTTGTATTTTTTTTTCTTTTTAATGCCAGCTCCTTGCCTTCTGGTGGCTGGATTAATTCTCTCTCCCTGTCACCTCCAGCCTTCTGGAGACTCGGTCACGCTCTCTGAAAGCACAGCCATTGTTTCCCACGGCACCACCGGCCTGGTCACATGGAATGCTGCACTGTACCTCGCAGAATGGGCCATAGAGAACCCAGCAGTCTTCACTCACAGGTGACCTTGGGGCACAGGAAAGGGCACCAAGGCGGGTTTGCCCTGGCAGAGTTACGGACACACATCCCCTTCTCCCACCCAGGACTGTCTTAGAACTCGGCAGTGGAGCTGGCTTCACAGGCCTGGCCATTTGCAAGATGTGCCGTCCCAGAGCATACGTCTTCAGTGACTGTCACAGCCGTGTCCTCAAGCAGCTCCAAGGGAACATCCTTCTCAACAGCCTCTCATTGGAGCCAGACGCCACCACCCCTGTGCAGCACCAAGGACACGATACCCACAATTCAGAGAACCCCAGGGTGACAGTGGCCCTGCTGGACTGGGACACTGTGACAGCCCCTGAGCTCGCTGCCTTCCAGCCAGACATTGTCATCGCAGCAGGTACCACCTAGCCCGGGCCAGTGGAGTGAGCGGCTTCACTGAGAGTGGCTCTACTCAGCTCTCAGCTCAGGGATGGGGACAGTGGACACCGTTGGGGGCAGAGGCAGGTAATGATGAGACTTCTGGAAGGGTCATTCTGGGCCTCCAGGGCAACATCAAAAAGTGAGTGCCCTAAAGCCATAGTCCTTCTGTTAGAGAAAATGGCCATATGCACACTCCCGTTGTAATGGCTCCATCAGATAAGTGAACTGGCTCCTCCCAGCAAGGCCTGGGATGAACAGAACAGGCCCCAGGGTGCCAAGCCAGCCTGACCTGTTAACCAGGCCACAGGCAGTAGATAGACTTTTATGTCTCTCTCCAGCAGCCTGAGGCGGGCCGCTCAGTTGTCGTCTAGAACCGAAATGAATGGCTAGGGGCTATGAATAGCTAGAGCAGCCCATCTTCACACTGTGGGCGGGGGCAGAAATGGCCATGGCAGCCTTGTCTTTTCAGGGCTGCAAGGAATAGCATGATTTTCCCAATACCGTGTCTGATCCTCTGTGTGTCATGGGCACCCACGGGCTTAGGGTCCAACCATAGTGGTGTTGGAATCAGGAAACAATCTCTATGTGCCCCCACCTCTGTCACCATTGGCTTGCCTCCACTCTGTGTCATCACCATGTGTCTACATGTCCCTGAGGAGAAGGGCTCCTGCATGTCTCTGTCTTAGGTGCATGCCCTGGTATGTTTCAGAGACAAGCCTCTGGCAGATAAGCCCATCACATACTAGTGCACGGACAGGGTCCTTGAGAGAAGGGGCATTTGCCTCAACCACCAACAGGCCCCTTGTCCTCTGCCAAGCTTACCCTGTCCGCTGTCTGGTAATAGTGCTATGCCTCTGACCCTGGGCCACAGCCCTGACGTCCATGGGCCCACAGTGGCTGAAATGCAGAGCCTGAGCAGCATGCCCCCAGGTGGTGGCCACACCACAGAGAAAAGAGCAGCAGGCTGCTGGGAACAGGAAGTCTGAAGCAGAGTCAAAGTTTGCTTTAAGTGTCTTCTAAACAGGCCATAGGCAAAGAATTGATTTTTTTTAAAGGAACAGCAGTGATATTTTCCAGTTATTTCAGTGTCTTTCAGCCGCTTTTTTTTTCCTCTCCTAAGGGTTTTTTTTACCTGCGTAATTTTCTTTCCATCTAGTAGAAGTGCTGCTTTCCAGGCCCTCACCCTGCTGCCAAGGTCGGCACAACCCTGCGCCCTCCATTCCGGAGTCCTAAATCCTAGAGGGAGTCCCTGTCAGTAAACTGGGGTTTCTCATCACAGATGTGCTGTATTGCCCAGAAACTATCCTCTCCCTGGTCGGGCTCCTGCAGAGGCTCTCTGCTTGCCAGAAGGACCAGCGGGCTCCTGACGCCTATGTTGCCTTCACCATCCGCAACCCGGAGACGTGCCAGATGTTCACCACCGAGCTGGGTGAGCCCGGGGCCCCGGAATGGGCTGCTGTCTCTGAGAGGCTTCCCAGACCTTCAGGGCCACATGGGACTGCAGTGAGGCAGAAATCAGGGAAGTAAGGGAATGAGGCCCTGAAGACAAACCAGGAAGCCCCAGACCACATGACACTGTGGGGCTGACAACCCCCACCCTGGAGGGCAGAGAGAAGGCAGGGACTAGGGAGTGGGTTCTGGGGCAGCTCACAGTATGAAACCAGCGGCCCTACCATCCGTTTGTAGCAGGTTTCGAGAGCCTTGGGACCTTAGTTTCCTTGTCTGTAAAGTGGAAGGGACGGTAGATGCCAGTGGTGTCAGGGTAGATGAGAGATTCTGGCCACACGGCAGTTGGGCACAAGCTTTGGAGGCAGATCCTACCACCCATCCAGGTGGAGCTGAGCTGTCACTGCTTCCTGGTCATCTGTACAGTGGAAACTGTACACTTGGGAGGTGGACAGGACTTGGCACGCAGGGAGCACTTGGGAAAACGGTAGCCACTATTAACTGGATTACGTACCCAGTAAATGGAAGAACAAGGGGTAACTTTAGAATAGGGAGGGGTCTGCCATTCACAGCCCTGAATTGGCACTGCTGCAGGCCAGGCACTGTCTTTAGAACCTCTAGCAGCTGGGAGAGGTGGGCTGTCATCCTCCATCTCACCCATGAAAATACTAGGGTGCAGGGAGGCTAAGTGGCTACCCAAGCTAAGGACAGGAGCCAGGCAGCTGGCTCATACTGTCCACCCAACCCCCACTGCACAACCACCACCCTGCAATCCCCATCACATGCCAGGCCCGACCAAGGCTTCCAATGCGAAGCCTGGCAGCTGTACAGGACCCCATGTTTGCCCCAAACTGCCCCCCACCCACCGTGCCTTCCCAAGCAAAGCCCCACCTGCAGCAGCCTCTACTCACAGACAACCCCATAGCCCACCCGCATGTGCCGGGTCTCATTGGAGTGCTATGCAGCCTCATAAGAGTGAAGTCCTTCAGATACTTATGGGAAAAATATCTACGGTATATTCTGTGAAGAAAGTGCCAAACAGCATATATAGATAGTATAAGCACATTTTTATTTAAAAAAATAACCATCTTCATGTTATTCATATGGGGGGAAATCTGGAATATACACTAGTTAGGTTATACTTGGACAGCAGAATTATAGACACTTCTATACTTCTGTCACATATCATTTTTATAATTGTTAGCTTTTTCATTCATCAAAAATCTGTGATGACAAAAAGATCCTCGCCAACAGCTCTTCAGACATCTGCACTCATGAAAAAGGCAGGAGCCCTTTCAGATGTGTGTCCAGCCTTTGTGGGGAGGTCCAGGCTGAGCAGTCACGCACAGCAGGTTCAAATCTTGGCTCTTCCCAAGCTAAACTCAGTGACAGGGTGGAGGACAGGTACAGAGAGCAACAGGGAACCCAGACAGGCTGTGACCTACCAGGGATGGGCATGGCCGGGTGGGCAGAGGTGGCAAATGTGGCTGTCGTTCCTGATCCCACTTCTGGAGGCTGATTCTAGGTGTGTGGATGGGGCCTGGAAATTTGTGGTTTGTACCCCTACACCCCACCTCCAAGTTTGTCCCATATTGATGGGATAACATCCTGTCCCCAAACTCCGCCATCCTGAGATACATATGCTCTGTTTCCAGGCCACGTTGGGATCCCATGGGAAGCCGTGCCTCGCCACGACCAGAAACTGTTTCCTTATGAAGAGCACTCAGAGACAGTGATTCTGAAACTAACACTGTAGGTTCATACACGTCTTTGAAGATCACCATGAAAATCAAATCCCTGTCCCAGAAGGAATTTTTATGTGGGAAAGCTGATAAAACTTTCATTGGACTTGAATGTTTGAAGGATGTTAAATTCCAAGTCAGGAACCACAGACTGTTCTAACAAAATAAAAAACTGTTCAAGTGCGTGGGTGCCCCTTTCTGTCAACAGTTCTGGTTCTTAAGCAAATCACCGTAAGTCAGAAATGAAAATTTTGGCTCAGATAAGCATTTCATTTGTGCAAATGAAAACATATTATGTTTTCTCTCCATCCTGGACAAACATCCTTCACAAAGCTAAGCCCATAATACGCGTGACACATCTCTGCTCTTACAGTGCAGTGGGCTGCGGTGCCTGTATTTAAGGCAGAGATCAAAATACTAGGAAGTCGAAAGAGCAGATGCTGGGAAAAGCAGTTACCAGTAGACAAAAGCAGGGACAAAGAGATGTTGAAGAGGCCCAGGCAAATAACAGAAAAGTAATAAATTGGGAGGAAGAAAAGACTCAAAGAAGAGGGTTAAAAAGAAGTGATTCAGGGCCTCCAAAGAAGAAACCAGGCTGAACCAGTTTCCTGGGCCACAAACTCTTCATTAAAATAACTTCATTCTGTAGGTTGGCCCTGCTGCTGTCCTTTCAGCTTCTGTCCACTGGGAGGCGCTGCTCTAAAGAGTATCCAGGGACTGGGCAGCAGCTAAAAGAGGCTAGAGGAGGGAAGTGGGCCAGGCTTCTGGGGGGAGGTGAAAAGAGCAGGGAGGGTTTCACAGCATTATGACAGTCTCCTACATGACCTCCAGCATCAAGACATGCTGGGGGTGGGGGGAGTCATGTGTCCATAAGCAAAGGGAGAACCGTCTGCATCCAGCTCTCGTCCCAACGAAGCTGCTCAGACTCCCGGAGGTTCTTCCGGAACTGGTTCAGCTTGCCAGCAGGATCAGGAAACTTTGACAAAAGCATCTAGAATAAAAATGACCAGAACTTCCCTCATTACCACTTCCGCCCACCTCCTTCCCAACAGCTTAGACTCCAGCCCCATCTCCAAACACCAGCTGCCAGGACCTCCCTCAGCGGCCACACTCCCACTACCGATGTCCAGGAGCCTCCAGTGACATCCCTGTGCTGGCTGGCCCAGCTTCTACACTCAGCCTGTTGAATCAGCCTAAATGGCTTTGAGCCCCAACAAGCCCCCTCCCTCACCAGCATACAAGGGCCTTCATGCCCCAGCCATGCTCCATCTCCTACTCCGCCCCTGCCTGACATGGCAGCCAAGCTGCAGTGTTCACCATCTACACACCGTGCCCTGCAGCAGCCCCCAGCCTCTGCCGTGCTATTCCTTCCACCAGGAGCACCCACCCCTCGGCCTCGGCCCAGCACTGTCCCGCCCACGTGCTGGGAACAAGGGTGTTTGTGTTCTTTCCAGTTTTGCTAAACTAAGTCAGGTGTATGCAGGCTACAGTCTGTAGGCCAGACACAGCCCTCCACCTTTCTTTGTAAATAAAGTTTTTTTTGGAACACGGCCACACCTTCATTCACAGATTTTTCTATCTGGGCCTTTTCAGAAAGTTTGCTGCCCATGGTCTCAACTGTCAAAAATGATAATGTATTACTTTTTATAATAAGTACCCTTTGAAGACTCCGGCCCATCTTGCGAGGCTGGTCCAGGAAGCTCCCTTCACTCCTCTCTCTCTCCTTAGATCCAGCCACTCCCTAAGTGGCACCTACAGTCCACCTGTGCATCATCTGTGTGGTGTAACCCCAGACAGCAGAGGGGGGGATGCCCTAATTCCCCTGAGCCCACTGAGGCCCGGCCTCTGGGACCGCTGCTCCCTCCCACTGCTTTACACCCAGACCCAGAAAGCAAGGAGCATGGCAGCATGGCTCGGTGCCAGCCTCCAAAGCCTGCAAGCCCTGGCATGGGGGCAGCCACAGCTACCTGCAGCTGAGCCGCCAGTTCCTCCGAGTCCTCGAAGACCAGGCCGTTTTCCCCATGTTTCACAAGCTCATGTAAGCTGCAGAGAGAATCAAGGAAAGCCTGAGAGCGGCCTGGAGACCAGAACCCCGTGGTGCCCATCCAGAGCCCCACGCCACTGCCCCCCACCCGAAGGCTAAGCCAGGGGTCAGGGACAGTCAGTCAGTCAGTCTGGTTTCAGTGAATCTGTTCTTAGATTTGACATCTGAAAAGAAAAAATATGTGGATAGATACACATCAAAAACCCAAACCAATTCGGGGACAGAGAGGCAGTGAACTAGGATCTGGACTTTTTCTGCTATGTGCTCTTTTTAGTGAGAACATGCTCGGTGGGTTCTGTGTTTTTTCTTAATCACACAGCAGAAAAGGTAAAAGGCAACTCTACTGGAGGTAGGCTTAGCACATTAAGGGTGACTTTTCTAGGTGACAAGGGTTTTGATCCCAACGTGCAGAGCTCAGCTCGCAAGAGGGTCTAACATCCTGGATTCCCCATTCAGAGCAACTGTCTCTAGAACCCATAACACTGCCCTCTCCAATTGCCCATCTTTGCCAGGAAGAGTGGAGACAGAGAACTACACTCATTTAACTGGTCTGAATTCAAGTAAATGAGCTCAAACAAAAGGGACAGAAAGAGAAATAAAACCTTGTAAATTGTGCAGGCAATTCCAGCCGTCATTCTATCCTTTGAGCACAGGCCTAGGGTTGACATTTTAGGACACATATTTTTCATATAACATGAGTTCTAAGTGGAAGCCAACTCCTGCAGTGGGACTCAGCCCGCCCAAAGGACCCCGAGGGCTCCGACTCCTGGGGCCACCTGGCCAAGCTGCCTGATTCCGAGGCAGTGCCAGGGCAGGTCTGGCCATGCTGGTTCCCTTAGCTGCTGATCTGAGAACCTGACCCCTAATTCCGGGAGGATTCCGTTTCCACACCTACCACTGGAAGTTCACGGCGCACGCGGGCAGGCAGCACCCGAACATATCCACCACCTTCATGGGCAGGTCCAGGCCACTGGAGGACTTGTGCAGGGAGACACCCAGGTCTGCTGACCCTGCGGGGTGAGGAGGTCGTCAGAGCACTGGCTGTGGGCCCTGTGACCACACATCCCCTAAGGACTGTGGATCGACACCTCTGGTGAGGAGTGAAACGTGGAAAACGCTCTCAGCTCCACATACAACTGGCTGGAATTGGCCAAGCAGCCTGGCGAGGGGCAGGGACACAGCAGGGCTTCCCAACTGTCACTCCTGAACACTTGGCCCCATCTGAAAATTACTTGCCTATCACTGACATTTTTATTTTAACAGACCCCTTTTCTACTTAACCACAAATTATTTTAAAAGAATCCATAGCAATTATCCTTAATGGGTTCAGTTTCTGCTTGGGTTGATGAAAATGTCTTGGATATACAGTGGCGATGACTGCACAATATCGTAAATGTAATTCATGCCACTGAGTCATATGTGCACTTAAAAATGGAAAAAGGGTAAAAATGGCAAACTTTGTTATATATATTTTATCACAATAATTAGAAAAAGAACCCAGAGCAGACCCAACAGAAAACCAGCTGTCACTGTGAAAATAAAGCCAAATAAACAACTTCACATCACTACATACTGGCTGGAAGCGCCTGCCTACCAAAGGCCCCCTGCCCAGGACTGCTAGAAGATGAGGGTTTAGAGACTTATTAGCACCAAGCCAATTCTTCCCTCCCCGGAGTAATGATGACGGGAAGAGACAGAGGGGAGGGCGTTCTCGCTGGGAGAATCAACACCGTTTAACGCATCATCTCTGCACTGCCCTCCCACACTTGGGGCACGGTGGGCGCCAACCCAAGCCCAGGCCCAGCCCTTCTGCATGAACAAAAGAGCAGGACTGAATTGAGGGCATGGAGGCTGAGAGGATAGAACCCTCACAGAATCTCTTGGCAAACAGCTCCCGGGCCCACGAGGCAGGAAGAAAGTGGAACACCAGGAAATGCCTCATCTCCTGGAGTTTGGCCAAGAGCTCCTCTGACAGGTTCTTGGCAGACCGGCTTCTCCCTGTCCCAGGTGGCCCCTAGAGCAGCGCCAAGCAGGGCCCAACCCAGCCTGAGGCCTGTGTGTATATGGCCCTTGAGCTAAAAATGGCTTTTAATTTTTACAGGGTTCTAAAAACAAAGAATATGCAACGGAAGCTGGTAAAATATTTACGATCTGGCCCTTTTCAGAAAAAATCTGGCCCCTGCCCTAAAGTATTCCCTTTTAAACCTCGGTCCCCTCCTGTAGGCCTCTTGCCAGGTGTTCTTACCTAAAAGCAGAGGGTAGTCCTCAGCCTGCAGCCATGGGGTACAGACCTGGATGTGCTGGAAATGCTTCTGGCCGATGAGGCGGCTATAATAGTCCTTCAGAGGCCCTTTGCCTTGCAGAGAAAACTGGAGTCACCTTACTGGGCCCATCTCTGGCTTCATCCCAAGGCTCCAGGCCTCGGAAGCCCCTGCAAAGGTGTCAGCAGGAGGCCCGCACTCGGAGCTCCAAGAGGCCTCCATCCAGCCCCTTCCAGAAACAACCCCCAGGGATGTTCACCCTGACAGCTGAGGCCACGGCAACCTGCACCAAACAGGCTGTGAATGTGGCCAGAATAAACTCTGACCAGGCACCAGAGTGCCAACTAGATACGGCTTCTCACAGACTGTCCCCGTGCTCCGCCAGGCACCTCAGGCAGCACAGCACATGCAGTGGGCTCCTGCCACTCCGGGAGCCCAGGGGCCAGGAGGAAGGACGTGCTCTTGCCGTTGGACCACTTTGGGGGCAATTTTATGTCAGGCAGTGGCCTCTTTTGTTTAAAAAAAAAAAAAAATGCCTAGAAACCACTGCAGAAGTAGAAAGCTCAGTATCTCTGAAGTTGTGCTGAGAGATTCAAATTTCAACTTCATGCCCGGCCATGAGGCCCCTCTGAGCCTCAGTTTTCCCTTCTGTCAAGTGGGTGTAGAAAACCCTATCTCAGAGAGCTGCTGTGAGGATTAAGGAGGCAAGGAACACCATGTGCCTCGCATGGGGAAGGTACACAGGAAAACAGTGCCTTCTGCCCTCTCCACTGCCCCCAAGCTAAATACAGGAACAGGGAGGGTCCCAGGTACCTGTTATCACACAGACCAGAGAGGGAAGGCTTTCTCCATCCAGGATCAGCTGTTCAAACTCTGAGTTTAAGAAAATAAACACATGATAAGCAGGATCAGCTAGTCAAGTGAGGGAGGGGTAAGATCACTGTCCAAGTGGCGGCCTTTCAGATCTAGGGCCTGGTCAAGTCAATGACCCAAATGGGGACTCAGAACCACTACCACCCTCAGGCTGGCCCACCCAGCAGCCCTCAGGGCAGGAACACTCTGCAGAGATGCCACACAAAGCCAGGTGAGCAGCTCAACAGCCCCTAACAAGCCCAGGTCCTGCTCACAGCCACACACCTACTTTCTAATGCTTCCAGCAAGATGGAGAAGTCTTCATCCTCTACAAGAAAAGGAAACTGAGTATCACAGCTGGTATCTAGATGCCTCCCTACCCAGTTCAATGCCCTCCCCTTTCTTATCCGGACCCCAGAGATCCCTGAATACATGTGAGGCACAGGCCTGGCAGGGATGAGAAATGCAGGCTCAGCCCCAAGTGCCCGGGAGGGCCCTGAGACCTGTCCAGCTCGTGCTGCTGACCAACAAGGCCGGCCGCCCACGAAGACGTGTCACCATCCTGCTCCCAGCATCCCACTCCGTGAAGGCAGACCTCTCCGTGGCCAGGTCTGAGGGTTCTGAGCTGAAGGGGCAGAGACAGAGCCTGTGAGATGCCATCTCCAGCCACAGCAAGACCCAGAGGCTCCCAAAGGTCAGAGTGTGGCCACATTCAGAGCCACCAAGCCAACTCTACTACCCTAGGTCTGGGCACAGACATGAACCTTGCTTTATCAATACTTATTTGTTGCCAGATGCTGAGGTCACAACAGCAGATAACACAGACTCAGCCCCTGCCTTCACCAGCTTACTGTTCTTATCATTTCCTTGACTTAAGAGGAGGATGCTGTGACATCCCAACTGGCTCCCAAGTTATTGGAAGGAGCAAACAACTGGGCCTGTTCAAGGGGCCTTTCCTTCGTGAGACACCCCAGAGAGCACAAGGTCCACAGACCCTGCCATGGGGTCAGGCAGGAAGGTAAAGACACCCAAAGCCTAGCACAGGGCAAACATTTCCTTAAATGGCTAGAGAATAAATATTTCAGACTTTGGGGGCCATACCATCTCTGTTGCAAAACTCAGCTCCATTGCTGTAGTATGAAAGCAGCTGTGGACAATACATGAATGAATGAATGGGCTGCGTTCCAGTAAAATCTTATTTATGAATAGGCAGTGGGCCTGCAGCCATAGTTAGCTGGATTTAGTGGATTCCCAGGTCTGCAGGGAGGAGATGGGGGAGAAGCCAGGATGGCAGTGAACACAAGCGAAAGCAGTTGAAGACAGAAGACAGGAGACCTACCTGGTCCTGAACGCAGAGTAGGTGTGGCCCAGCTTCATAAAGAGCCGGTGTTGCAGGTCCAAGGGCATCTCTTTAAAAAAAGATGCTGGCTTGTCATAGACAGTCACAGCTCTGCAATGAGATCATTGGGGGACTCTAGGAGAAGCAGAGAAAGGCTGAAGAAACAGAAAACTCAGGAGGAGCCAGAAAAAAAAAGGGTGATTGGGGGATCCAAGTCTCAGACAATGACAATAAGAAGCTCTGGCGTGAAAAGGGAAAAAAACAGTACAACAAATAAAACACTGCTTTACATCATTTAAAAAAAAAAAAAAGCTTTGAATTACTTGGGGAAGCATAAAGAGAAGTTCTAACATCAAAATTGCCTGGGCTATCAGACTGGCTAGGAAAGAAATTCCAGCCCCCTCCTCCCAAGGCTTCCCAGGAACCATCTCCAGGCCCCCAGGGATTCCTAGATGCCTTGCCAACAGGCACTGCAGCTGGCGCCAACTGCGCTGGGACCTTTCGCCTCTCCAGGGACCTACTTGATGCCCCAGTTCTCTGCCAGGTCTTCCTGCATCGCATTGGTTACACACAGGTGCAGATGGGCCAGGCGCCCAAAAAGCTTCTCGTACCTGAAAAGATACATCCCTGGTCAGCCGGGAGCCCTGGCCAGGCCCCACCGCCACAATCACCAGGGGACTCAACACCTGCCAATATAAAAGAAGCTGCAGAGCTGGGGTCTCCTAAATCGGGTCCCTTGCCAGGCACCTCCCCAGAGTTTGTGCTGAGTTCCATTTGTGCTATTATTTTCTTCACACCTTTCTTTAACTTATATTGCTTCTCAGGTTAAATACAATTATTTTTAAAGAAAACCGAATATTGCTACAGAAGAAAAAAATCCAGTCTCTCTTGCCATAAATAGAAAAAATAAAATAAAGTCCCATTATTAAATTAGCCACACTGAGCTGTTCCCTGCAAAGGCTGTGGGGCTGAGGATGCTCTCAATGCATTACAAAGAGAGTTTAGCAAAAAAAAAGTTAGGAAGGAGTTAATGACAAATTAGCTTCAAACTGAAACTTGGGCCCTGATGACAAGCAAGAACTGAAAGAGAACTGGAAAGGAGGAATGAGAGAGGACTCTAAGTTATTCAGCACTGCTGGTGTATCAAGACCTGCTCCTCACTCAGGGTAGAGAAAGCTCCAGAGTTGGACAGCCCTAGAACCAAACTTATTAGCTGTGTGGCAAGTGGTATACTGGCTTCTCAGCCTCAGAAAAGGAGCGTAATCACAGGACATCCTCACACGGGGACAGTATAGACTGAATAGAACAAAGGGCTCGGCCAGAGCGTGGCATGCAGCAAGTGCTTAATGACTTCTGCTGCTGCCGCCAACACTATTACTGCCATCAAGGAATGACCCATTAGGGGAGAGGCCGAAGCTGCCGATGGCTTGAGGCTGCAAGTCCCCACCAAGACAGATGTTGTATACCCAGGCTCAGAACATGACTGATTTCCTGCTCCAGATCCGACCTGCTCACACAGGCCTTTCTTCCCTCTCCCTGTCTCATCGGCTGCAGCAGACTGTGACCCATATCCCCATCTTCCCGCAGCAGTCCCTGGTCTTTATTTGGGCATCCAGTGTGGGTGCCCCTGGAACCCCACCTCTCGGTGGGCATCAGAAGATGGCAGGTGAGCAGGAGCCAAGCAGAGGGGAGGAGAACAAGGGGAGGAGAGCAAGGGGAGCTCCCAGAACCTGAGAAACACCTCAAAGAGGGAGTGTGGAGACAGGGATGAGAGGGGTCCTGAGGACAACCTTTTCGAGCTCAAAGTCAGACATTTCTCTGGACTTATCAGTTTCATGGGCCAACAAACACCCTCTTTTGCGTAGGCCCATTTCCATCATGTGTAACCAGCGTCAGCCCAATTTCGCAACCTTGCCCTTACCCCACAGAGCACACAGAAAACTGGCTTTACTGAGCCTTCGCACTGGCCCTTCTTCCTACTGCAGTTTGGGGAAGGTGTCTGCAGCCTCCTCCCAGACTCTCACCACTTGGCCAGCAGAACGAGGCAGTGGCTGGGGCCATGCACCAGACCCATAATGGAGTAGCCGTAATTGTGCCAGTCGATGACAAGTTTGCTCCCACAGAGGCAGCCCACAAACCAGCAGACGGCAATGGCAGGCAGGCCCGGGGGGTTCTAGGGAAAAGAGACTTGAATGAACAGGAGGAAACTAGACCATCATCAACAATAAACTGAATGCCATGTATATGACCGATAAGTAGAAGACCCTCTTCCTCACCAAAAAAGGTATAAAAAGTCATAGAAGAAACAAAACTAACCAACCTGAAAAGTCCAGGATCACTGATAATCAAGGAGACAAAAAATAGAACAAGGAGGTGTATTTTTCACCTAATAGAATGGAAACTCTAAAACACTTAACAACAGCTAGTAGTGGTGCAGATGTGGGGGAAGGGTATGTATCCCCTTGGGTAGAGTATAAATTGGCCCAGCCTTACTCTAAGACTATCCAGCAGCACACCACAACATTTTAAAGTGCATGAGTTTTGACCAAGCACTTTCACCCCTATGAACTTATCCCAAAAAAGAGACTAAACCCGTGCAAAATTACATATGTTCACTGATGCTCTTTGCCACACAATCTATAAAATTTTTTAAAATTTTTTTAAATAAAGGAAGAATCTGAGTGTCCATTAAGATAAAACTAAATAAACGTATTAAGGTACGTCACATGCTAGGATACAATGCAGCCAATTAAAACGTGGTTCTGTATGTTAAAAGCAGTGGAGGGAAGAGGATAAGAGCATAACTCCAAGACCAGACTAATTACCTAGTTCAAAATCCTGCCTCCTGCACTTCCTAGCTGTGTGATGATGGGCTACTTACAAAACCTCCCTGGATCTAGGTCTCCCCAACTCTAAAATGTAGGTAGTATAAGAACTTACTTCTTAGAATTGTTGTGAGAAATTAAATGAGTTTAATACATGTAAAACACTTAGATATGTAATAAGTACAATGTAATACTTACCTGTAACAACACAGAAAAATAGACTGGAGGGGTACCATAAAAAGAATGGACATATACATAGGCTCCCATTCATGTTCTTAAAAGTTTATATACACACATAAACTCATATGCAATTCATTTACCAACTTGTGCATATTTAAAAGGCTGGAGAGTAAAAAAGATGGTTAACATTCATTCTTACAGAGGGAAGCAGGGCTGACATATACCTGGAGAAAGATGTAGGCTGCTGGCTCCCTGCACATCAACTTCCACAGTAAGTGCACCGCCTGAAATACAACTTTGATTCCATACTGAAGAATGTGCGGCCCAACTGAAATTCAGAAAACAGTTGTCACTACCAAAGGAGTTCCTGAAGATTCCCCCAACCCCGCAAAACACAGATTCAAGGGAATCTGGAATCGACTGCATCCTACCTGTAAATCTCTGAAGTTCTGTCAAAGGCACAATCCGAATTCTGTTGTTCCGCAAGACCTCATCGTGGGGTTTGGAGTCTGAAAAGAATGTCCCCTTTAATGTACTGGACAGGGCAATCTAATTTAAAGTCAGATGATCCTCCAGCTCAAGCTGAATAGTGGAGAGTGTTTTGGAAAATAAGACTTTTCCAAAACGCTCTCTGTTTCTCAAAAGCCAGAACAGAGAATAAGGCCAATTCTTGTCCAGATTCCACTAGACTGACCACAGAAGGAGGGGACTGAATCTTAGCCATCTTTACTTAACACAATGTCTGGCACATAACAGACCCTCAAATTGATCTAGATTCCCTGGATGGTGGAATTACCCCACCACAGGGAGACCCCTAGGAAGTCCCACTCCACCCCCTCACCCTGGGATAGCTGGCTGTAAACAGGGACCAAAGGCAACCAGTACTATTCCTGCTTGTCCCTGATAGGGAGTTGAGCTACCCTTTATCTAAAGATGTCAACATGGTGGAAGATGGAGGAGCAGACACGCCTGACCCTGTCTGTACACAGAGGGCAAAAGCTGGACATGCTGCGCATATGAAAAACATCTGCCTGCAGAGCTCTGCATTAAGGGTGAGGAATGCAGAGATAAGCTGCCTGTCCACTCAGACACATCCTGACAACAGTAGCCTCAGAGATGTGGTTATTAGCACTGAAGTCACATGCACCTGGGTTCCAGTCCGTCCTTTTACTTACTAGGAGGATTAAATGAGAACTATGCAATTAGTTCATTTAGCTTAGCACTGTCTTGGCATAAGGCAGGCGCTCGATTAAAGTTGGCTGTTCCTAAAGACCCACCCAGCAGAGCCCGGGCAGAAATCTGGCAACAGCTGTCCAGCCCGGAACTGGGCTCGCCCAATCTCGGAGAGCTACCTGAGAGCGGAGGGAGAAAAAGGGAGTCCCTGCCCCCGCCCCTCTAGGGCGATCAAAGTTGCGACTCAAAGGCTGAGAGAGCAGCCTCCCACCCAGCCCCCGGGGCACTCACTGCAGAAGCCCAGGAAGGTCACTGAGAAGCCGTGCTTGGCCAACGACAGCGCGTGGTACTGCATTCGGGGGCTACGGCCCACATCGCCCAGCACCACAACGATCACATGCCGGGCAGTGCGCTCCCGACACCAGCGCTTCCACACACTCATCAGCACCAGCGGCAGAAACAGAGACAGTGCTAGCAGGGCCACGCAGGAGGCAGCCATCTTGGCGGACCTGCTGCAGTCACGTGACCGCGCTCCCGCGGGCCCAGCGCGCTTTGCGCAGCCGCGTATAGAGCCCCCGAGGTGGACCGAGGGAAGGCGGGCGTGGGTTGTGTTTCCCCAAGTGCCGGTCGGCAGATCTAGGACTATTTTATTTAAAAGTTCTAAGGTAACTTCAAAATATTGAGAGACAACCATTTGGATGAATCTCATAAGCATAATGTTAAGAGGCCAGGTGCCAAAGAGTACATACCGGCTGGTTCCATTTATATAAAATCAAAACTAATTTTTGCTGTTACAATCCTGGGGAATGACCTGTCTAGAGGGTCTGAGATTGAGTGAGAAGGACCCTGATGATGGGGGGGTGCGGGGCGGGGCCATGTTCTGTTTCTTGATCTGGGTGCTGGTAACTAATATTTTCCACTTGAAAAAATTCATCCAGCTGCAAACTTACTCATTTTTCAGGATGTGTGTTGTATACTTCAATAAAACATTTAAAATAGAGAAAAGGACAAAGAAGGAAGTAAAAACCATAATGATTTTAAGTATTTATAGTAATGAGGGTACATTTCTCCCTAATCCTCCAATTTCACCTCCCAAAGTAGCCACACTACAGAATTTAGTGTGTGTCCATGTGACAGCCTTTTGACTTTGAAAGATGTCCCCTTGCTGAGAAACACTGTGAGCATGTTGGTGAAGCCACCCCCATTGCCTCCACCTTGGGAGCTGCTCCAGAACCTATAGAGCACCCAGCACAGCCACCACCTGCCCTCAGACTTGCCTCACTCACACATTTGACAAAGAAACAAAACAAGACCTCCCTGGATAAAAGCCTGGACAGGGCAGTGCCCACTGGACAGGGCAGCACTGTGTTGCTGTGGTTCCTCAGTGACCCTAACTCAAGACTTGTCACATTTCTCATTTGAGTCTCACAATAGCCCTGTGACTCCCCTTTTTACAGATAAGGACACTGAAAGTCACACCATTAATGAACATGTAGCAGAGGCAAGGCTTGAAACCTAAGCTGAAGAGGGGACGGAAGAACCAATAAATATGTACAAATGAGAGGGATGGGCAGACTGACACCAACCGTGAGCAGCCTCATTAATCTCCCAGTTCCCAGCTAGGCCCCTGCCTTTAGTTGCATGTGACCTGCCCGCTTGATCCACTCTCTGTAGTAGGATGGGGCTGGGATCTGGAGACCTCAGCCTCGTGGGCTCCTTGATCTCGAGCAAGTCACTCAATTAATTGGCTTTCATGATGTGTAAATTAAGGGAGGGAACTTCATATCTCAGACAGCCCCTCTGGCTCTGATGACCTAAGAGGATAATGGCCAGATGCCACAGTTATGACAGTTATTATTCAGTCATGTGACAGACTGAGAGTAAATGCCTCGCCCTGGAAGACAAAATTCCGGTTGGAAAAGGTATTGGCATTTCTCCAGGGAGAGGAGTAGTTGTATCACCAGCCAGTCCTGCTTGTTCTGCTTGCCCCCTTGACTTACGAAACACATGAAAGTCAGTTCTTCCAAAGGTCCAAAAGGTATTGTTTCCCCTTCCAGGCTGAAACAATGGCAGGATTACCTGATGCTGAAGATGTCACCTCAGGCACTGGCATCCCTGCACCACCTGCTACTAACTGTGAGACAGTGGGTTGCAATAAGTCACCCTGCTCAGAGCCAGAGGTTTTGTTTAAAGTATAAAAGGGAATAAGAATAGTACCCACTTCCGGTTCATTGTAAGGATTAACAGAAGTGATGATAGTGACAAGCTTCACCTGGAACATTTGTTCTCAATGGCACACTCAAAAGGTGCAAAAAATGGTTCTTGGGGAGCAAAGAAAAACTTTTATGTATAAAGCGCAGATACATACTGTACACAAATGTATGATATGTCTGCAGTATTAAAATTTTATGGGAGTTCCACACAAAGACTAATGCATGAGGAGCCCTCACACATCACTGGTGGAACTGTAAAATGGTGCAACCACTGTGGAAAATAGTTTGACAGTTCCTCAATAAACATAGAACATTCCACATGACCCAGCATTTGCATCCTAGGTAAAACCCAAGAGAATTAAAGACAGGTTTTCAAACAAAAACTTATAAATGAATGTTTATGTCAGCATTATAATAGCAGAAAGGTAGAAACAACTCAAATGTCCATCAACTAATGAATGGATGAAATGTGACCTATCTACACAATGAAATATTATTCAGCCATAAAAAGGAATGAAGTATTGATTCATGCTTCAGCGTGGATGAATCTTGAAACATTATTACAAATGAAGTCAGACATAAAAGGTCGCATATTGTATGATTCTATTTCTATGGCACATCCAGAATAGTCAAATCCATAGAGGCTAAAGGGCTGAGGTGCGGGGAGCGGAGGGGGTGACTGCTAATAGGTATAGAGTTTCCTTTTGAGGTGATAATATTCTAGAATCAGACAGTGGTGGTGGTTGTACAATTTTGTGACTATACCTTAAAAGACACTGCCTGTACCCTTTTAAGGGGTGAGTGTTATGGTATATGAATTATATCTCAATAAAGTTAAGGGGAAAATGTGTCTAAAAAAACTGGGGGGCAGAGGTGTAGAGAAAGGCAAGAATGAAATAAAAAGACTGAGAAACCCTGACCTGGGGCCTGCTCACAAGGAACGTCCGAAGCACATTTTGGTGGTGGCATTTTTATTATTTTGATTATTTTTACAGATCTGTAATTCGTTAACTGAAGCCCTGGGACCAGGTATGTTTCTGAATTCAGAATGTTTTGGATTTTAGAAAGGTAACATGGCACACATACATATGACAGGCAGGCAGGGTTCAGGATAGCACACGATATACCAACATAGAAATGTTTTTAGGGAAACAAATGTACTGCACACTGAGTGAACTACCTGAGGGCTCTAAGTCCTCACCATCCAATACAGAAGCACATGTGGCTGTCGGGCTAACCCGAGTTGAAAATGTGCCTTGAGTGCAACACCTTCCAGATTTCAAAGATTTCGTACGAAAAAAATATTTTTTAAAGAATATAAAGAATCATTTTTATATGGATTACAAGTTGAAAAGGTGATATTTTGCATCTATTGATTCAAATAAAATAGATCATTAAAATGCTTCTCTTTGCTTTTTCTAATGTGGCTACTAGAAAATTTGTAAGTTGCCTACCTGGCTTGTCTTTGTGGCTTATATTCCGTTTCTACTTGGATGGGAGCTGCTCTAAGAAATCTTCCATCAATTTGGGGCAGGTGTGCCCTCAAATGAGTTTATTCCAAACTTATTTGTTTAAAGAAACTGAATTTCAGTGTTTGGGGATTTCTGCATTGTAATTGCAATTCTTAGATCAAAGGGTAGCCTGTGGGCCTGGAGAATCAGATGGAAAGGAAAGGGTGGGAGTCCTTCTGCCCAGCCTGAGGCCAGCTGGCTCCACAGCCAGGCCCTGCCTGACCGCTGGTCCCTTGCCCCAGCCCCTCAGTCAGTTCCCTGCAGCTGCCCTTCCCAGATCCCTCTGCCCAGCCCAGCTCCCCCCACCCCCCGCCCCCAGCTGCTGGGTCAGCCCTGCCCAGCCCTGCCCAGCCACTTGTCTGCAGCTCTGCGGGGGGGAAGGGGAGGAGGAGACAGGAGGAGGAGACAGGAGGAGGTGTGTGAGGGCGGGCTGGCCTGGGCTGAAGCACTCGACCAGTCTCAAGCAGAAGCCAGCCATGTCCAGCATAGAGCTCCTGCTCCTGCTCTTGCTGCTGGCACCGCCGCTGAAGCCCTCTTCATTGCCACCCCTGGATACCCCAGAGGGCAAGGCCACCATCACAGGTCTCATCCTTTCCTCAATAGAGAGAGCCACCTCCTTTCTGAAGAAGAGACTGCCCGAAATCAACCTGGACGGCATGGTGGGATTCCGGGTGCTGGAAGGTGGGTGTGCTCTTGTTCCCCTGGATTGGCCACCAGGAAAAACAGTTCTCAACCTGTCACCTTCCTGCCCCGCACTTCTGGGACCTGGCCACCTTCTGGCCCCTAATAGTCCGCTTTGACTATTAGGAAAGAGGGGTGGGGATGGCTTTCTCCTTTTGGGTGTCTGGGGGACCTGCTGTCATCGAACTTTTTAGAAGCAGGAAGGATTCAAAGGCCACCCAAGAAAAGATTTGGAAATTATTATTTTCCTGGGAGGAAATAATCCATTTGAGAGTCCCTCCCTCCTGACATGCCACAAACGAGGTGGGCACAGGGGATGTGCCCTTTGAAGGGATATTTAAGGGAAGGTGACCACAGGCAAAACCAGAGACCCCCAAGATGGGTTCTAGCCCTGGTTCCCCCCACTTCCAGTCAAAGCCGCCTGGAGGCTCCGAGAAGAGAGCCAAATGTTTGTTCAGCTTTGAGAAATATAAGATCCCCAAGGAGAGGGCTGGAAACAGGCCAAGGCAAACGGGGAGCCACCTCCCACACACATCACGAGTTGCAGTAGGCCCTTCTCCTCAGGCCACCAGGGTGGCAAAGAGCCGGTTTGGAGTCAGCCTGGGCTCTGGTGGGCCCCCCTCCCAAATCGGCCCCTGTGTGCAGCTTTCAGCCCATCCAGACTCCCAGTCTGGCTGGAGGAGGGGCTCTGGGACAGAGACATCTCTCCTTCGTCTCTGGCCACCACCATTCTCTCCCACCCCTGCAGCGCCACTTCTCAGTCTATAGGCCACCTTCGTGGGAATTAGAAAAAGGCACCCCTTCCTCAAGTCACTTGACTGCCATCTGCTGGAAACTTGCCTTAATACACATACAAACCCATGACAGGAATGTGTGCGGCCCTCGTGCAGTGTACAACTCGCTCAACTGTACAGTGACTCTCCACCCTGCAATCTGAATCCCTCCCTCATTTTTCAGTCCTGTATAACAACCCAAAGTCTCCCTAATTAATTCCAGTAGCTAAACTTTGTTAAGTGCTTACTTTGCATTATGGACAAGGCTAAGTCCTCTCTCTGCATTAACTCAATTAATCCTTATGACCTCCTCCTCAAAGAAGTAAGGACTATCCTTATCTCGTTTTACAGATGAAGAAAGTAAAGTGGAAAGAAACTGAATGACTTTCTGGTCACCCAAAAAGAAAACATTAGAGTCAGGATTTGAACCCAGGCCCACTTGCAGAAATCGAGCTCCCAGCCCCCACCCCCGTCACCCAGCAGAGCCCCACAGAGTCTAATCTCCAATAGGCTCAGCGAATTCTTTCCCCTCAGGTGCTGGAGGAGGCAGAAAGGCTCAGGAAGCATTATATCTTAGGGTCTCTTTTCCTGTCCACATGGCTTGTCACATGGTGGAGTGAATGAACTCTGTCCCCTTCCAGTGCAGCTGAAAGGCGTTCAGGAGGCGTGGGCCCAGGACCCCCAGCTGCAGCCACTGAGCCTGCGCGTGGGGAAGCTGGTGCGAAAGCTGGAGCCACTCCTCCACAGATCCATTTTCTACCTCAAGCTGAGTGACCCCCAGTACCTCAGAGGTAATGGCGTGGGGTAGAATCCCATTTCCTCGGGAACACAGCCTCTGGGGACATTTACTCAAATAACCTAGTGTGGCTCCTTGAGTGCCAGGGAATGTCTGGGACAACCTGTTACTGAAAGTGTCCTGTCGGCTGAGCACGCCACAGGCTGACCCTGGGAAATGTCTGTTCATCCTGGACTTCAGATTGAAATGACCTGTTCCACCCACACAAGAAGAGATGGAAAGGAGGGAACATGTCCCCCCTCGTTTGTTCAGCTGGTGCCCAGGCTTGGAGGCCTTCATCCTAGACTAGAGGGTAGAGGAGGGCCTATCCCAGAAGGTGGGAATCTAAACGGTAATTCAGCCCTTTGCACAGCAAATATTAGTATCCTGTTAGCATCTCTCTTATGCCTTATAACACTGAGAGTCTCTTCTCATCAGCCTTGAGTTACCCTACTAAGGGCCCGATCCTATAAGCCTGGCCTCAGTTATTGTAGGGGGCGGGGAGGAATTATAAACCAACCCATCATCTGACCCTGTATCCCAGAATCACAGCACATGTGCAGGCCCCGCGGCACATGACTGCGGCCCAGCCCTCCTTAGCCCCTGCCTCCCTCTCTGCAGTGGAGGCCCTCTCCCCTCTCCCAAGGCCTGGTCCCTAAGACTCTCCTGGTCCCTAAGCCCACATCTTCCTCAAGAAGGAGATCCATTTTTTAACTGAACCAAAGGAGTCAACTTACCCTTTTTATATGTTTCAAGCTTCCACAGATGCAGTGAATTTAGCCAAAGCCTGTCACAACACTATTCTAGTGCCTTTTTTAATGTTTTTCTGTTTGTTTGTTTGTTTGTTTGTTTGTTTGTTTGTTTTAGAAAAATAGCCTCCTGAGTGTTTCAAACGCAATGCCCAACCAGCAGGTCAGGCTTAGAGCCCTGAGCAGACACCCAAGTGTGGTCAGGGCTGCCCAGGAAAGGACACCGGGTTCCTTGGCTCCGAGTCACAGGAGCCTGGGGGCAGGGCAGCTGAACGCAGTGTGGCCCACTGCTCCTGTGTCTTCCCCCACCCCCTTCCTTCTGCCAGAGTTCCAGCCAACCATCCAGCCCGGGTTCTGGAAGCTCCCACACGTCTGGATGGAGACCAACACCTCCATGGTGTACTCCAAGTTTGAGCTTGAGGACTCCTTCTCAGAGGAACACAGCGACTTGTGCCTGGTGCAGCTGCTGGGAACTGGGTAGGGCCCCTGCACTTGCCCCGCTTCCCAAAAACCCCAAAGCACTTGCTCTCCGCCAGTCCTTCTGTTGACTTACTCTCCAGGTCCCCAAGGAGCAGCTCCCCCAGAACCACCCTGACACCACCCTCTCCCACCATGACATGAGAGCCTGCCCCCACTCTCCACCCACGGCGCCCAGCCTGGTCCAGTCACCCAAACCCCCTGCACTCTCACCCCCACCTCCTGACTGATCTCCCCACATCAGAGGGTTCTGGTCCAAAACCACCCCTGAACACCCCACCCCCAGTGTGAAACTTCCAGTTGTTTTCAAGATAAAGCCCCACCTCCCAGTGCCCTTCCACGCCCCCAGGTTCCTCTGGTCCAGCCCTGGGGCCTCTTTTCAGACCCTCAAAGTCGCCAGCTCTTCCTCCCTCTATAAGCCTTTCTCTTTACTGAGCAGGCCCCTCTGTGGGGCCTCCTCCCACCCCCATTCGCCCCATCCCTGCGCCGAAGTAACTGCTCATACTTCAGGGCCAGCTCCAGCATCCTTCGTCCAGAACCTTCCCTAATTCCACTCCATGAGGCTGCCCTCCCTGGGTGGGCTGCCTCTCCTAGCACCACCGGTAGCCACAGATGCAATATACTTTTGTTTTATGGTTCTGTCTGGTCCACTGGACTGTATGTCTAGAAAGCAGGACCTGAGCCTAGTTTAGCTTCCTTACTGAGCAGTGGGCTTGGAGCATATTCCCCCAAGGGCAGCCCAAGATGCAGGGACTCATGGGCAGAGGGGCAGCACGTGCGTAGACATCCACCCTCTCAGCATCCTTCAGAGAGCTTCTTGGGCCAGGACACAGCTCGGCTCACAGAAGGTCTGCGCTCCAGTGAGGGACCCACTCCGTGTCGTCCGGTCCTTCCTTTGGTACAGAGGGAATGGGCATGCTGGGCCCACACCCAGGATAGCTCCAGGTCACCTCCCTGTGCCGGGGGGTACTTACTTAGCCAATCAAGACACAGGACACTTGTGTTTTACCTGGCAGCCCCTTGTGCCCAGCTGGGTGCCTGGAACCTACAGGGTTCTAATAACTAGTGGGGGAATGAGGACCAGGGAAGGCTCAAGGACCAGGACGTCGGGCTTCCTTTGGGACGCCTGTAACAGACTGAACCCACCTCTCCCCCAGGACGGACAGCAGCCAGCCCTGCAGGCTCTCGGACTTTTGCAGGACACTCATGACCAAGCCCAGCTGCTCAGGCTACTGCCTGTCCCACCAGCTGCTCTTCTTCCTCTTGGCTAGAATGGTGAGTGCTCTGTGTGGGCCTAGCCACACTTCACCGAAAGAAAGATAAAAGGGGCCCATGGCAGTGTGGTTTTGTATGCTACACATGGGGGAAATAAGCGAGTTTTTGTGCTTTGGACATCAGGAAGGAGAAGTGAGAGTAGCCTGCCATCTGTTGGCTATAAAATCCAACCAAACTGGTGGGGGTGGGGGTGGGGAGAATTGGGATTCTGTTGGACAGAGATCTTTACATCCTGAATTCGATCAGAGGTCATCAGCATAACAAAAAGAGAAAGAGAGAGCCAGAGAGAAGCAGCAGAAAGAACTCGGTAAACAATAACAAATGGAAAAGGATTTACAACAAAGTGGGTAGCGACTTCCAGGAGACCAAACCAGCCCCACCCCCACCTCTCCC